GGGTGGGGGGTGGGGCGGACACCACGAGGGAGGGGGACGCCCATACCGGAGGGGGGTGGCCAGCAGGGCGGGAGGCCGGCACCGGGGGGAGGTGCTGGCACGCCGGCACTAGAAGGGGGGTGCTGGCACCGGGGGAAGGTGCACCGGGAGGAGGAGGTGCGAGCATCGGGGGGCGGGTGCCGACACCGGGGGGCGGGTGCCGGCACGGGGGGGGGAAGTGTCGAATGGATCTCTCAGGAAGTTCCCGGCTCTGATGCATCGCATCTTCCCGATTTTGGATTCCAGATTTCTGATTTTTGATTCCAGATTCGAGGTGGCTCTCTGGCCCTATGCATCGCATCGCCCAGAGTCTGGATTCTGGATTCTGGATCCGACCTCTCAGGAAGCTCCCAGCTCTGATGCATCGCATCTTCAGGATTCTTGATCCCAGATCCGACCTCTCTGGCAGGACTCTCCGGATCACCTCTCGGCAGCTTGGAGCGGCAGCTCCGGAAGGGGCAGGAATTTCGGAATTGTCAAGCTCCGAGAAAGCTGAAAAAGCGTTGGAAGCGCATTGCGGCATGCGGATACATGACAACCGAGTGATACATCGCCCAAAATGGCATTGTAATTGAACCACAACGGTCAGCAGTTTTCAGCAATTTGATATAAAACGGAACCGACATCGGGAATACAAAGTGAAAGCTCAAAACGGGGTAAAACCGCGTGGCTGTTTCCACAGTCATCTCAGCGATGCCGGCGGCGTGACGATGGAGGCGGCGGTCAAAAGCGGTGGCGGCGGCCGCGGCGGCCGCGCGCATGAGGAGGGCCCTCGGCGAACGGAGCAAGTTGTCCCTAGGGAGCTCGCATGCTCTGGGGCGCGGCGGCGTGCTTACGAGACGAGTGTGCTGACGAGACGAGCGAACTGAGGAGGAGGCGGAGGCGGAGGCGGAGGCGGAGGCGGAGGATGAGGAGGATGAGGAGGAGATCGGGGAGATCGGATCGGAGCCAGTCAGCATCGTTGACACAGCTGGCTGGCAGCACCCCCCTGTGGGGGTTGCCCACAGTTGTACTTTACTTCAGGGTCTTCTTCTTACCCTTCTTACAGAAGGAATTGGCAACTCCTTTTCCCACCAAAGACTCCCTCCCTTCGGCACGGGGTTGGATCGGCCAGAGCTTTCCTGGCTTGGGGAGGAGGCCCTTCTGAATTCGGTTCAAATAGTTCTTGCCCGAGGGGGTGCAAACCTTCAAACACGGTTCCGACAGCAACAGGAGCCTACCCTTCTCGGTTGCCACGCTTCCGTAATGTCCGCTTTTCCAGCACCATACAAGTCCATGCAGCATCCCGCAGACGTGGGAGCTGTGGACTTCTTTGGTTCGGGTACAGACCAGGCTGGTGAGTTGGGGGGGCACCAGGACAGGGGTTCCAGCCTCGCTGCGGATTCTACACAGGGGGTCCCCACTACAGCGTGATCCTTCGAGCCAGTCAACCAGCGAGCCCCTGCCAGGGCCCAACCGACACTCACGGCAAGCCCAGCTCCCGGAGCCCATACGGCCGAAGACGTGCCCAGACGCCTTTTCCAGCTCGATCACACGCCCTAGAGGTCTCCCCTCCCCCCTTCTGGCGCTACTCTGGCGGGGCGGTCCTGCCTGCCAGCGGCCTTCGCCGCCCACCAGGCTGGCAGTGCCGCCATCCGCTGGTGCACTCGGGTGGCCACGGCGTCGCCTGCGCGCGGGGCGAGGACCTCCGAGCGGATCGCCCTCGAGGCCTCCTCAGCCCCAAGCTGTGCAAAACTGTCAGCCACTTCGTTGCCTCTCGAAACGGTTGGGCATTGGCCCACACGACGGTGGGAGGCAACATCTAAGTGGCTGTAGCACTTGCGAAGCACCACAGATCCCTCGCGGTTCCGCCAGGCTTCCGCCACGCGCTCCCACCAGTGCCGTAAACTTCCGCTCGGCTTCTGCAATCTACCTTGGTGCCAGCCATCAAAGACTTCCTGAGCTTCAGTCTGAATCACCGTGTCACCTCGCGTGAGAAGAAGGCTCCACCACAGCGCCGCCAATTCCGATGCTGGGACCGATTGCTTACCGTCGAATCCTCCGCCGTACCACCTTCGGGTCGGGGAAGCGTCCGAGGGGGTCAGGCCCAGGGGGGAGGAGGAGGTGTTAGAGATCCCTGGCCCCTGCTGGATGTAAGCTCCCCCCCCCGCACGGCACTCGCGTCGGTCCGATGACGACCCCGAACCGTCCAGGAACCACACTGGCAGCAATGCGCGCGTGGCCCGAGGGTGGGGCTCCGCTGGGGCCTAGGGTGGGGCACGGGGCGTCGACAGCTCGCAGCACGGTGGTCTCCCCAGACTGGCGGCGGCGGGACCGAATTCCAGCTGGCAGGGACAATGCCCCGCAACCACAGGGCAGCTCTTCGCACAGTCCTTGGTTTTTGATGACCCATGTGTGTTCACGTTGCGAGGTGGCAGGGCATTCGTACAATCGGTGCCTGATGTTGTCATGCACACCTAGACCGCACTCTTTACACAGTCCGTCGGTCTGGTACCCTGCCGGACGAAGACGGGCCCCAGTCTAATGGGTGCAACAGGCTACACTCTCGAGGGCCCCTGCCTCCTGAAACATGAGTCGTTTGTGCATGCGGGCTGTGTCAATGCGAAGCATCGTGAGCTCTCCCCCCCAAGCCAGCGGGACCCCCTTCAGCGTGCTGCCCCGCCTGGGTCCGCACAGCTCGGTCAGGTCCCCGTCCGAGTCGGGATCGAACCTCCGCTCGTTCCCGTCAGGGGCCTCCCACGGATCAGGTTCGATCCCAGCCCACCCGAGCCCTCGTGGCGTAACGACTGGGGCTCCCACGGGCCCCGTCGCAGCTCTCCAGCGGGCCCTTCGCGTCGACCTGGCGATTCTAAAATTTCGTGCCGTCCGTCCTCCACGGACAGCGTTCGTAAGCCTGGACTTCGCGTCCAAAACTGGATCCACCCGCGGACCTGCCTCTTGACGCCTTCGGCCCAGGCGTCCTTCCCTTCAAGCAGCGGCAACATCACGGAGGCTGTGCAGCGTGTTTCTTTTGAAATATTTTTTCCTTCTCTCTCATTCTTCTCGCCATGTGAAACCCCGCCATGTCCGCCGCCTGCCCTCGCCGTCGACGGACTTCAGAAGGGGGGTATGCCAACGAGGGGGCTGTCGTAGGACATCTAGGCTCTGGCGTTGGCATTCGACAAGAGAAGCCTACGTTTGCGACGGTTTCGCCCCAGGTTGCCAAACACTCGGGCCCTGTTGGCCCTAACTCGCCCCGGGCGCTCGCGTTTCTGTCCCGTGGTTCTGGCCCGCCTATGGCCCATGGTGTTGTCGGTCCCCAGGTCCTTCATCACTTCCGCCCGACTGATGATGATGCCTCTCTTTTCCAGCGCAGCGGATACCATGGCGGCATCCTGCTCCTCGACCGCCATGATGGTGGACTTGTTGGAGATCTTCAGTCTGGCCTCCAGGCATCCTTGCACCAGGGTGTCCGCTCCTGCCGCGATCGCTGCGCCCACAACGTCTGGAGGTCCTTCCACTCGAATTGATATCGTCCACAAGCTGTCGGATCCTTGCCATCGGTGCCATTCGATGCACTTCCTCAATAACATGTTACAGCAGGGCACGCGCTCCGTGGTTGGCCTTGTCACAGCCTGGGGCCATGCCATTGGCCGGAGTGATGGTGGTGCTGAATTTCCCGTTCATTTTGACAAGACGTGGGCTCAAGTATGATGCAATGCACATGTAGAGCTCGGCTGCAGGGCAATCCAGCTCCGAGGCCCTCTTGCTCAGGATGCACAAGGTCATAGAACTTCTCCAAGTCCTGGAAGAAGCTGGCCTGTCTGGCCTCCTGGAGGCGTGCTCGGCTCTCATCCAATATGAGTGTAACCATAGCCGCTTGTAGTGCTGAGCTGTTGCGAACTGCCGCATCCCTAAAACCAGTTTTTTTCGCACCAGTCGGTGAGCTTCTGTTTCGTCATCTTCCCCCGCGCTCTCACTGGCATCGGTCGTGAGCCAATTGGTCGTTTTTTCTCTGCGATCTGCTTTTCGCCCTTGGGGGTAGGGTAGCGTACCAAGCCTGCGTGAGTTGACGCGGCCACTGTAGTTGCCTCTCGCACATGTTGAGGATCGTGAGAAACCCTTCCTTGCAGCTTGGACTGAGTGCGCGTAGTTGATCAGGTGCCCATTGGTCTGCTCCCTTTCCTGACTTGGCTGGGAAGCTGTCCAACGCCGACTGAAGGTTCTTGATGTTTTGGTAAGGCCTGTCCTCGAGCTCCTCCTGTGAGCTGGTAGTTGGTCTCATCGATGTGGTCGTTGTGCTTGGCCCATCGTGCTTCCCATGCCTTCCGTCGGAGCTCGAGGCCCTTGGTGGGGTCCATCTCCCACTCCATAGTATTCGGTTCCAAGCAACCGTCGGTGAGTTGAATGGCCTCTTCTTTGGCCAGGTACCTGTGCGCTCCCTGCATGCCTCCTGTCGTAGCTTGGGTGGCCCAGTACCGTATCTGACGCCTCGTGTCCTGCCATGCGATCTGCGCGTGTCGTTCTGCTCGTTGGCATGCGCAGGCAATGATACCGCCTTGGATATGTGACGCGTCCTTCACCTCTTCCACGTCCATGGAGCGGTCGCGTGGCTGTGCCTGCCTTGGAGAGGGGGCTTTGGGGTGCTCCCAGAGCTGCTCCCCTGCCCCCCCTGGCCATCGCGCCGCCCCTCGTGGTGGCCTGACCCCGCCCGCGCTACCCCTCCAGTAGCGGCGCGCTCTCCGCGCCCCGCGCCAGCGGCAGCCCCTTGTAGCCCTGAAGGCACGTCAGGACTTTGCGAACCGACGCCGTGCTCGGCATTGTCCTCCTGGCCCTGCTGGTCGATGAAGTCGAACGGGTCTAGGTCCCCTTCGCAGGTGGAGCCTCGTGGCGGTCCTCTCGCAGCTGGGCATGTCGGTTCGGCGGTACTGGCGACGCTATCCCCCAACGCGCTGACGATCTCTTGGATGGGGCTGCCAAGCCTCACGTCAGTGGTCGGGTGGCACTGGTAGCTGAGCGTCCGCGTGACCAAGCGTAGGATGCCGTCGTACTCGGTGGTGGATGGCGCCGTCGTAGACCTGTTGGTGGCCGTCGAGGTCAGCTGTTGTTGTTCTGGTGGGAAACCCAGGTGTGTCCCAATGCGCCGTAGAACTTGACCATCCTTGTGGAAGTCCCTCGGGTCGTATCTGCTGTCGAGCTTCGTCCTCAAGTTGGCGAGCTGCTTGTCTAGCCTGCCGATCGCGCTGATGACCGTATGCATGGTGTTGTTGATGGAGTGGCACCGGTGGAGTACTGCCCATTCACGTACTCGCGCTGCCATGGCCTCCCAGCAGTTGGCATCCTTGCGCTTGGCTGCATTCTCGAACGGCTCGGACCCTCTTTGATGTGCTGCTTTCTCCCTCTCGAAATGCGGTACTCTTCCTGGTTGTTGTGCAGATTTTTGGTCGGTGCCCTGGAGTAGGCCCAAGGATAGCTCCGCCGCCCTGGTCCATTGTCCGAAGTGTTGGCCCAGTACTTTGGCGCTCTCCGGATCACGTCGGTAATTCCATGCTGCCTGCACTTCTTTGGTGGCCGACTCCACTGGCTCGTTGTGGTGGTGATGTAGCGCTTGGCACCACATGTCGTCCGTCGCTGCTGCCTTGACCTCCTTCTCGTATTCAGTGTCCAAGAGGTGGCGGTGAATGTCGAACTCGCTGTTGGCGTTGGGATCGAGGCCGATTCCGTCATCATCTTGGTGGAGGTTGGCGTGGCGCTCCCTGTCTCGTTGCGCCCTTCTGGGTCCTTTCTGGATGCGGATCTTGCGTGTCAGGGCCTCGATCTTCATGGGCAGCCGCGCCGCTCTGATGCTGACTGCTGCAGTCCCAGCTGTGAGCGCCACATCGAGCCCAAGGTGTGTGCAGGCTCCACGGGGCGTCCCTGGCTACTTTGAAATGCCTCGCTAGCGTTAGGAACTGAGTCGAGCACGCACGGGGTAGTTAATGAGCCTGCCCTTCCCTGACGTGCATGTTAAGACGCAGTCCGTGGGGATACGCAGCTCGCCGCCCATCGCCTTCAGCCACTTTGTTTTGGCAAGTTGTTCGGGCGTGTTGTTCCAGTCGCCGAGTTCTACCCAGAGCACTGCCATCGCACGCGTCAACTGGAACATCTTGTTGGCGTTCTTATTCTCGAACCTGTTCCCCGAGTCGAGGTAGACGCAGATGGGCGCCACTGTCGCCCCCTGGAGCCTCCACATCATGACTGAGATGTCCTTCGAACTCTTCTGGAACGCGCTCCTCACCGTGGCGTCAGGAAGGTGTGCTGCTGTCGGTAGACCTGCTCGCGCAAGCCGGCAGGTGCCCCATCTCCTCCTCCTCCTCCTCCTCCTCCTCCTCCTCCTCCTCCTCCTCCTCCCCCTCCTCCTCGCTCCTCCTCCTCCTCGCTCCTCCTCCTCGCTCCTCCTCCTCGTGGGTGTATCTGGAGTCCACGCGTGTTGCGAATGCCACCCCTGGCGCTGCAACTTCATGGCCTCGTTCTTGGCGGCTCCCGCGAGCAAGTGGCGCTCGGCGATGCCGACGACATCAAGACTGGTGTGCTGTACGTAGTTTCTCACTTTCTCCCCGAAGTGCGTGACGTTCGCAAACGGCACGTGAAGCGTGCGGTCCACAGACGCGACCGCGCTCTTGGGTTTGGAGGCGCCTGTGCCGTGGTTACCCACTGGGCCGATCGGCATCAGCACCTGCCCTCCCGCTGGCGGTCGCTGCCGTCGACGCCCGTGCCTTGACTTTGACCTTGAACTGGGTTGTGGCCTCGATGTGCTTGTTGACAGCCTCGGGGTCTGTGAACTCTGTGTTACCTGCGCTGGCTGAGGGCTTCTCCGCTGGAGCCGCCGCTGGTTGCTCTCCTGCTGGTCGGACTGTCCCATCGGTGCTTTTCTTCCACTTGTTGCTGACGGCGGTGTGGAGCTTGCGGAGACGTTCCTCGGCATCTTCAGCATTCTGTCCAGCAGCTGCCGCTTGCTTGAGCGTGGCTGCTGCGGCTGCGGCCGCCTTGCTGGCTTCTTCATATTCGCGCTTGCCATCAGGTCCCAGCGACTCCAGATCCTGCTTGCCCAGCTCTGGGAAATCGGTGTCATCGTTGGAGCCCTCCTGCTTCTCCTGCTGGGCTGCTGTAGCTGCTCCCACAGTGGTCTCGCCGACCAACTGGTCGACCTTAGCCTGGGCTGCCAGGCACTCCTCCACGTTGGCACTACATCGGGCAAGCTTTGATTCGGCCCTGCTGCGTCTGGAGCTGTCGGAGCCTCTGCGCTGCGTTGGCGAGCTGCTCTTCGGCCAGCTTGATGGGTGGTGTCTTCCACATCTCCTCCAGCTCTGGGCAGATTGCCAGCAACGCCTGCTGCTTGGCCTGGTTGTTGGACTCTTTGGCCTTGGCGAACTGCGGCAGCAGAACTGAGGCCGCGTGGGTGACTCCTCCTGGCGCTGGCTGCGGCCCTGCTTTGAGGATGGAGCGGGGCGTGCCCGCGCTGCCTTTGCCTGCCACCACGTCTGCGAAGGTGACGGAGCGCTGCTGATGCTGATGGTGTAACTTGCCGAGCTCGCTCCACAGGATGCCACAAGAGACGCATGCTTCCCATCCCTGCTTCGCAGCCTTGCTGAGAAAAAACCCAAGAACGAGGGCAATGCGGACGTGTGATGTAAGGTTGCTGCGACTCCTGGATGTGGAACTCTGACGTGATTTCGCATCTTTTGGGCCCCCCTTCCCATGGAAACTGACACATGCACTTTCGCCGCCCTGCTGGGCGTCCCTCAATCCGCGGGCATGCCTGACCGAAATTCCCCAGAATACAGCCGGCGCACGTTACGCGTGCGTGTGTGCGCGGCGGGCCTATCCCCTGAAAGGACTCGACGCACAAAAAGCTTGAGGCGTAGGAGGGGGAGGAGGAGGAGGAAGAGGAGGAGGAGGAGGAGGAGGAGGAGGAGGAGGAGGCGGAGGAGGAGGAGGAGGCGGAGGAGGAGGAGGAATGATGAATCGCGGGTCAGGAGTGAGGAGTGGAGGATGAGTGAATAGTGGGGCATGAGCTGTGAGAAGCGAGGAGTGAGGAGCGAGGACTGAGGAGGACTGTTGGACTGGGCGTAGAGGTGGCGGGAGAGGGGCCTGCTGTGAAGACTACCCGGGTTTTTCTGCCCAGGAGGCGAGGCGACTCGTTGTCGGCGCCGCCACCAGCACCCAGGACCGCGGTCGCCGTCATCGTCCGCTCGTTGCCGTCGTTGCCATCGCCAGTCTCCAGCCTGTCTCCTACCTCCTGCTCCTCCGCCCCCGCCTCCGCCCCCTCGCCCCTGGCTCCGCCCCGCTGGGCAACGCCAGCCGAGTGCCAGAATAGCTCGATGCACGCTGCCGCGCGTTTTGGCACGCGCGGCAAACCCGTGTCTGGACTGGTCTGGTACGCGGTTGGCGTCGTCGGACCTCCCGCTGCCTCCCGATGTCTCCCGCTGCTGCTGCCCTTTCGCCTTCGTCCTGCGAGGGGCCTCCACGCCGCCCCGTGGCGTATTCGATGGGCCCCGTCTGGGCCCTCCCTCAGCCGCGCCCTGCCTGGAACGGGGAAGGAGCGGATGAGGACGGGCGAGGAGGGAAGGATGAGGAGCAGGAGGAGGAGGAGGGGGAGGAAGAGGAGGAGAAGGAGGATGATGAGGGGGAGGAGGAGGAAGAGGAGGAGGAGAAGGAGGAGGAGGAGGAGGAGGAGGAGGAGGAGGAGGAGGAGGAGGAGGAGGAAGAGGAAACAAAAGAAGAAGAAGAGGAGGATGCGGAGGAGGAGGCGGAGGATGAGGATGAGGATGAGGATGAGGATGAGGAGGAGGAGGAGGAGGAGGAGGAGGAGGAGGAGGAGGAGGAGGAGGAGGAGGAGGAGGCGGAGGCGGAGGCGGAGGCCCAGGCGGAGGAGGAGGAGGAGGAGGAGGAGGAGGAGGAGGATTCGCTGAGGATTCGCTCGCTGTCGGTTGGTCAAGGCGGCCGAAGGGTCGGCGACGTAACCCTAGGAGGCGCCCTTCGTCCCAGGCCTATCTTGGGCAATCGAGAGCCTCAACGAATCTGATTCGTAGTGGTGTGCCTACCTTGCCACAATCAAACGGCCAGCTAGGACCCTATGATTACCCCCGAGGCAACTGGAAAACAAACCTCTCCGTCGGTCCTTGGCGTACCTGGCACACCTTCGACAGAAAGCTACTTTAGGCAGGCAAACTATCTGGTGGCCTTCGGCACGCCGATCTCCGAGCTCCGCCAGGGGCGCGGGGGGGGGGGGGACCACGGGGCCAGGTGGGGGCTGTGGAGGGCCCGCAGGGTCCTCCACTCCCCCAGTAGGCGTCGGGGGGGGGGTGCTCGGGGCACCACGGGGCCCAGGGCCCTCGGATGTGTCCTCGAGCCCGTGGCCGAGGACCCCGACGTGCGCGGCAAATTCCATAATATCCGAAATCAAACTGTACCCCTGAATGTATGTGGCCCTATGTCAGGCCTCATGCTGATTCATCTGAGCCCCACGCTTCGCGTGGGGTGTCCGCTAGATTATTGCCTATGAAATGCTGAGGCCCCATCTGAGCCCTTTGGGTCCTGGTGGCGTGTGCTTTGACTTTGTGCATTGTGATTCCTAGCGGCCCTAACCCTCCGTTTTCTGCTACGAGCTTCCAACAGCGCAGCCAAACCTCTTTGTGGGCTGTGTCTGCGCGCTCGGCCCATGCGGGCCCTCTCTCGAAGCCGTCGATCATGGCCTTGCAGTCCGAATAGATCCTGACTGGCGGGCAGGCCCGCTCGAGGACCTTGGCGATCGCCACCCACTAGCTCGCTCTTGTAGATGGACTGGTCGCTCTGGGTGCCCTCGAGCGGGCCGTACATGGCATACTGCAGCTCGTGCTGCTCGTCCAGCTGGACGAAGGCCCAGCCTCCTCGCCGAAGGGCTGGGAACTCGCCGTACAGGAGGCTCCCGTCGGTGTAGACGTCCCCTTGCACGAACCCGATGAAGTCGCCCTCCACGGCGCTGGTGTCCCTGGAGGGCAGGGCACAGCTTGAACTCCTCCGCGGGGTCGGGCGCCAGGCCCCGTCCCCAGAGCGCCTCGGATGCAGCACGCTGCGCCTCCGACGCTTCAGGCCACCTCGCAGCCCCGCAGTGGCATATGTGCTGCCCTCCGACAGCTCGTCTGTGTTCAGCTCTGACCGCGCACACGAAGGTCCTGTGGCGGTCCGTACCTGCTCCGCCGTGGCACGCCTTGCGGATGTTGTCCTGCGCGGCGCCCTTGTCGTATAGCCGCTGCTGCGGCCATGTGCCTCCGCTCCAGAGGCTGCGCACTCTCGTCTGATGCTCCAGCGTCCAGCGTCCAGTCCGCTGTCGCTTGAGCAGCGCTCGCACGGGCTCGACGAACAGGCTGGTGATGCCGTGCGTCTCCCCGTGCTTGGCGAGCCACTCCTGCTTGAGGCTGTCCTCCGTGGCCCTGCGGATGCGCTGCTTCAGTTCCCTGATCGGGAGTGTCCTGAGGTCCAGGACCTCTTCGCCTATGGTGATGCTGTGGGCTGCCTGCGTCTGCCAGCCCAGCCACTTCGTCGTCGCCACGAATGCTCCCGTTGGCCCTCGCATCTGGAGCCATGGGGTCTTGGCACGGCCCACTCGGTATACCCACTTCTTCCAGGCACCCTGGAGCTGGCGCTGCAGGTCCGGCTGGCTGTCGACCTCCTGCCACGCCATGGTCCAGTTGACCAGCGGCTCCGTGTTGGCGCGGATGCCTGGGTTGGCGTCCTCGGCTAGGAGCACCAGCGGCGTTGACCTGCCCATGGTGTTGCCCATGAAGGAGGTCGCCACGCTCTGCCGCAGGTGCACCAGCGTGGAGCTCTCCATGCCCATGGCCTGCACCCCGTACATGGCAGTCGGCACTTTGCCTTGCCTGATGATCGCCTGCGCGGGGCCACCCGCGCGTCGTATGCGCGCGATGCGGTCTCGCAGCGCGGCATACTTGCTCGCCCTCTTGCTGAAGGCGCTGACTCGTCGTCTCCTGCCCGCTGCTGTGGTGACTCCCAGGTGGTCTGCGTGCCGTACCAGCCTGACGCCCAGCGGTCTCACGCGCTTGGCGAGGCCGTCCTGCAGAGCGGTGGTCGAGGCCATGGTGACCGTCTTGCCCTCCGCGCCTCTGGAGACCTTCATGTCCAGCCGCTCGAACATGTCGATGAGCCGCTGCACGACCTGCGCATGCCAGCACTGTACGAACGTCCGCGCTCCTCTCGTGGCGACCGCGAGGTCGTCGAAGAAGAGGCACAGCGATGCCCATGGGTAGTCCGCGGCCACGCCGTCGAGCTCCCCGAAGATGACCATCTTGAGGCAGAGGGGCGCGAGGCGGCTGCCCGCCGCGATGCCTCGCGCCCGGCGTCTGCCCTCCGTGTATGCATTGTCCAGGACGATGCGGCGCATCATGGAGTAGTTGCGCGGCACCATCTTGAGGATAGCTCTGTTGAACCCTGAGCGGGTTCCCGTCTGCCACACCTTCTCGTGCGTGATGTACTCGAAGCACTTGACCAAGTCGAAGTACGTGGCCGCGTACTCCATGCCCTCGGCCACCGTGGATTCGCAGAACACCACCTGCTCCCACGCGGCCCTCTCGCTGGACCGCCCGCGCGCCGTCTAGTCGTAGGGCCTGCGGTGGGCATCTTCCCAGCGCTTGGCGTACGGCATGCGGACCGTCTCCCACCGCCTCGCCAGCTCCGGCATCAGGCCCAGGCTGCGGATGCCGCCTGCCGACTTCGCCCTCTGGTAGAAGAGGGTGGTGTCCTGCGCCTGCGGCCACGGCGTGCCCGCCTCCAGCGCATTGAGGGCGCTCGCGATCCTCGCAGCTCCATGGACTCCGCCCTCGCCCCACAGGCGCGGGTGCGTCCCGTCTTGTGCCTGAATCGGCCGCGCGCCTCCAGCACCTGCTTCGGGGTGATGGGCCGCGGCCTGTACTCCGCCCACTCGAGGGCGGTGGGCGGCTGCAGCCACGGGGCTCGGTGATCCAGAGGGTCGCCCCGGATATTCTCCCAGCCCTGCAGCGCTGCCTCCGCGGCCTTCTGCGGGTTCGCCAGCACGTGGATCCCCTCGCTGCCGTCGGCCTCCTTGCCCGTCTGTGGCTGCCACGGAGCGGGCGCCTTGGTCCACTCGTGTTGTGCGCCCGCTCCTTGCGCTCCGTGCTTGACCACCCACTGTCTCCACTTCGCTGCTGCTGCGCGGTGGGCCATCTTCCATTAGCGCCTGCTGGCGAGGTCCAGCAGGGTGGCGATGTAGCCCGGGTAGTGCTGGGCGCCCTCGTCTATGTTGCTGAGGCGCATGTCCTTCAGCGTGTGCACGATGAGCAGCCAGCTGATCGTGTCCCATGTGGCGTGAGCCTCCTGGGCCTCCGTGTCCCGCAGCTCTTCTCCTTCCAGCTCGCCGCCTTCTGGAGTGTCGTCGTTCCCCTCTGCTGTCTGCCCAGGCGCCTTCGCCGAGGGCAGCGGGAGGGCGATGTCTTGGCTGAGGAGGCCGTCTGCGATGTGCTGGCCTCGCCTCGATGTGCCGTCATCTCCTCTCTGCCGCCATGCTCGGGCCAGCGCCTGCAGCTGCCTGAGACGCCGCGCCAGTCACTCGGCGCCCTCGGCCCACTGCTGCTGCTCCGTGGCCGCTGCGCACGGCTTGGGCCGGCGCTGCTGCCACTTGTAGTTCGCCCTCTCGAAATGGCCCGGTCGCTTGCGCAGGTCCTCGCCCTCGAAGCCGTGGTACCTGTTCACGCGCTTCTCGTAGGCACTCCCCAGCTCGCTCCAGTGCCCGTCGATGTGGCCCTGTGTGTACTCCCTGTTGCTTGCTAGCGGCCTTGGCCAGGTCACTGGCTGTGTCGGGCATCCCGTCGGCCGCGTCATTGGCTCGGGCGTCCGCTTGCGCAGCACGTAGATCTTACCGATGTCGTGGTGGCGCCGTGTTGTAGCCTTCCATCACCTGTGCCTTGAGCCTCTCCGACGCCAGGCCCCGCGAGACGATGAGGTAGTCCCGCGTGCACCTCTCGCCGTCTGGCCTCGTGCAGGTACCCATGTTCATGTCGCGCACGATGACCCCGTTCATTCTGCCGACGATCTCTGAGCTCTGCGTCCATGGTGGAGACCCACTTCGCCAGGATGCGCTGGTACCGCGGCGCGAGGCCCTCGCTGTTCCCAATGTAGGCGGCACCGCAGATGAGGCCTCTCTCGCTGTATGCA